GCCCTGGGCCCCCCCCCCCCCAACGCACGCCTGGACAAGCTGGCCAGGCTCCAACTCTCCTCTTCTAGCCTGGTCCAGTTGAGGCCCCACTCACTTGGTGGCAGGGAGTGTGGAGGGGAATTGCTGCAGTCACCTGGCCTGGCCCTGGTGGCAGGGGGAGCGGCTCAGCCCAGCCATGTGCGTCCCGCCACTCCTACGTCCTGGCTGCTCCCCACGTGCATCCCGCTGCTCCTGATCGTGGAGCCTCTGACAGTCTATCTTAGTCTGGGGGGGCTAGTTTTTCCGTAATTGTTTGCAACTTTTTCAAATATTTTTGTGACTCGCTTTTGGTTTGTGACCCATGGGTTGAGAGAAACTGAGCTAGAGAGAAAAAAAAATCATGTGGTCACACAGTCTGGCAGTCTGTCCCTGGCTTACAACTCTGTTTCAGAGTTCAATAGGGGAGACGAGGGGCAGCCTCACTGTCCACTGTATCTTCTTCCTCCCCAGTGGCAATTGGGAGGATGAGAGGAGATATCTGCACAACCTATTTTTACTGATAAACTTTATCTTTCAGCAAAGTTAGAAGCAGCAATGACTGAGGAGGAACCACCTCCCAAACTATTCTTAAAATTAAATTGCAGCCCAGACTTTTTCCCTATCTGTCCTACCGGAGATACAATGATGTTAGTGCAGCTCTAAAATGCATTTTCTTGTGGCCTATGATAACTTTAGCATGAAAGAGGTATAGAAACCTTAATTCAAAATAGTAGTTTCTGGCTTCAAGAAACTCCCTGGATCAGAATGGGCTCTTTAGACAATTTTATGCACTGAGCTGAAATTTTCCCTGAGTAGGTTGACTTTTTTTTTTTACACAAGCTTAAGCACAGCAGCACAGGGACACAGTTGGGCACCAGGGGCTAAGTGGAACCGGCCACTTCCCTTTGCCCCTGTGATTGTGAACATGTGGCTGCTGGCAGCAGCTTTTTTTTTTTTCATGCCCGGGGTGATTACTTCCCCAGTTACGCATCTCAAACATGATTTTCTGCGACTTGCATGCCAAATTCAAATATTTTTGTTTGATTAGAGTCTTCATGTATCTCATAACATACAAAAGTGTCATGAAAATATCTAGTGTACTGTGGTATTTGTGTGTGGTTTTAATGTACCAATTTTGAAACTGAAACATGGCTTTACCAAAATTTTACTTTTATATGTGCCAACATGTTAATGTAAAAACTAGATATTTTAAACCACTCAGGCATGCACTACAAAAGTATCTAATAAATTGTGATATATACACACACTGGGGACATTTTGTGACTACATATAATTTTCTGTATAATCCACACATGGAGAAGTGAGTGCGTGTATAAATCTCTATAAATAGGCTAATATATATATGCAGTAAAATGTGTGTATGAGTATCTATAGCACTCTGTGTGTATACATGTTTATATACACACAGAGTGGTATAAATACTCATATACACATTTTATTTAACATATATAAAAAGTAAAATTTGATACAGCTCCAGGTCATTATAATGAAAAACTGCACCTAGATCTAGCTAGCTTTGCAAAGGAATTTTTTTTTTTTAATTCAAAATGTTTCTATGAATAAGGGACACATTCTTCATGAAAAGTGTGGTTAATTTTAGTTTAGTTTAAAATTTTCAAAATTTGAATTGTTTAAACTACTTTGAATAAGCATTTTGCGAATCACTTCAATGTGGGAATTGTAGAAATTAAAGGCTGTGGATAAAAACACACAAAAACATGCTATGTTTTTATAAAAACAATATGTTAAGAACACAGTAATTCTGAAGTTTATCAGAGAGAAATGTACATTAAGGGACTTCATAAGAGGATGGAAATATACCTTTAGAGTCTAAATTGTACATGATTCAGTGCTGGCTTACATAAAACCCACAGGTGTCTTGGGCTATGTGGACATAGCTGGTCCTTCTGAATCCAAGGAGGAACTCTCTCTTAGGTATGGGCTATGGAGTCTCTTTTGTCCTTGCTCCGCTATAACGTATAACATTTGGCTTTAGGCCATATTTAGTGGGCCTCTGGTCACTTTCCCCAAGCTTGTTTCCTGGCAACTTGGTGCTCTTGGAGGCAGACTGTCAAGACATAACTAGTTAGTGACTGCATTCTCAATTCTTTTTAAAAATCCTTCTTGGTTGGCTATGGAAAGGCTGGGCTTTTTATTTTTCCTATGATCATCTTGGGAGTAGTGGTGGGAAAATGTGGATGTCCCTCCACCAACCCACCCACTTCCCTGCATTGCTTTCCAGGGTGAGTTCCCCAAACAGAGGGTTTCCTCCAAACATAGCTCAAGAAGATGTGATTGTAAACTGCCATCCTAGGGATAAGGATTAGAAATGAGGCTGAATGGAATAAATTGAAATACTCCAAAAAGCTTTTAATACACAAAATGCAGAGTTTCCAGAATAAATAAAGAATGAATGGTCAGGGCTTTTCTAAGGAAAACTTTACTGTGAAAGCCTTTTCATTAAACAAACAAAACACCCACACACACTATTTAAAGTCTGTTTAGCCCCTTTGAAACTATTTTAGTTTGCATTTTCCATAGGAATAGTATAAACATCTGAGAAAAGCTTTGCCCACTGATAGCATTGTGAAAGGGAAAGTATAGATGTTTCCCCCTGATCATATTGAGTTTGGAGTAAAATGTAATCTGTGCTGATATCCTTTAATAGACTCACTGGATTTAGTTTTTACTACTCTTAAATGAGACTCTTCACTATATCTAACTCTAGTGTTCCTTATTGAATGTGACTGAATCATTGTAACACATTCCTAACAGCAATAACAAGTCAAAAGTGAAAATCCAGGCTGGTAGTGTTGTAAAGTATAGTGTTTAATGTTTCTCTTACCTGCATTATACATGTTATGCTATTTTCCTTTTCCTTTAGGAGAGGAAAGTGTTCTGCCTCTTTTGACCCAGGATTCCAACTCCAGAGCCCGAAGAGGCATTTTAAGAAGGGCTGTCTTTTCTGAGGACCAGAGGAAAGCTTTGGAGAAAATGTTTCAGAAACAGAAGTATATCAGCAAAATGGACAGAAAGAAACTTGCCATTACCTTGGGTCTAAAGGAGTCACAGGTATAGAGAGTAGCAGGATGTTCATGATTTTTCTCTCTGAAAAAGATTTCTTGAAGGAAAGACTATAAACAAACCAGGGCTATTCCTTGTTCAAGCAAAAATGTCAATAAAATCAGCTAAGTAAAGATTTAAGGCTAGGTAAAGGCAGTCAAAAAGCCTGAGGCTGAAACGATTCAGTCTTTGTAGGTTAGTTTAAGCTGCACAGATTAAATTGAAACAGAAGTGAACGGACATTTACCTTTGATTCAGGAAATGCAGCCACATGACTGCCGTGGCTCAGGCCAGAAGCAGGGGGGCACTAGAGCATGGCTGTCTAGTTGTGCGTTCACTTCCTCTTCCTGTTGCCCCTGACGTCTCTGTGATTTCCAGTCCAGAATTACAGTAGCAGGATTCTGCAGGGTTTCTTGTCACTTCCTCTTCTTGCTTCCAGGTGCCTTTGGGCTTTGTAGTCTATAGTCACAGCCAGCTGTAACTTTCAGTGGGGAAACAGTTGTTTAACCCCCCCAGCCCCAGCCCCTAGCCAGGGTTTGCCTGGCAGGGGCAGTTTCCCCACCCCCCAACTGGGCTGCATCCCCAGCCGGGCTTGCTCCCTCTGCCACTCCCACCAGAGGGGTGGGACCAGCCCTGCTCTCTGGAACAGACAGCCCAGCCCAGGGCTGCAACGCATGCTGGGATGCTGGGGGACTCTGATTTAACTTGAACCAGGAAGGGTTCTGTGACAGAAGTTTCATAAACTGGTTTGACCCAAATCAGTTATGTCTGATACTACATTCAACCAGGTATATCATAAACCAGTTTCAGCTATTTTGAAACTGTTTTATGTGCACTGAGCTTCTGTTCTGTTATAGGTTTAAACCAGTTTGTGATCGCTTAAACTAGTTTATATGACACTTCTGTCCCTAGCCTAAATTAGAGGCTGTGTCTGTATTGTTATTTAGGGTAGATCCAGAGCATTACCGTTAACTAGCCCAATGCAAATAAGCTCCCCCTCCCAGTATATATAATCTTACAGCAGCTGCATGCCAAACAAGGTGAGACCTGACAGACTACCTGTGTTTTGTGGTCATCAGCCTGGGTGAATTCTGAATATACTGCAGGAGAGCAGCAAGTGAGGAGGAATCACAGAATCGTAAAAAATTAAGGTTGGAAGAGACCTCAGGAGGTCATCTAGTTCAACCTCCTATTCAAAGCAGGATCATTCCCAACTATATCATCGCAGCCAGGGCTTTGTCTAGCTGGGTCTTAAACCCCCAAGGATGGAGTTTCCACAACCTCACTGGGTACCTGTTCCAGTGGTTTACTACCCTTCTACTGAGAGAGGTTTTCATAGTCAGTCAGCCAGTCCCAAGGCCATACTGACTGCTGGGGCATCTTTGAAGTAGCAATAACTTTCCTCCAAGGGTGCCAGGCCTTCTTGTTACATGTTGAAACCACTGCATCTTTCTGCTTCCGTTGACTTCAAGCAAGGATTCATATTTGCTGACTGACTTCTTGTCTGATTTGATATTTCACATATTCATTTGTTCTATGTGCAGTGTAGGGTATACATGGAAGTCTTCTGAAGTGCCACATTTCAAAAGTCTCAGTTCACTTTTCCACGGCCTTAGTGAGTGTCTGGATCTCGCAGCCATAAAGAGTTGTTGAAATGACAACAGCATATAGTAGATGGAGTTTCATTTTCATTGTGATGTTGCTGCTAGTTCAGATTTTCTTTAACTTTGCTAGTTGTCCAATGGTGATGGCTATTCTTGTGTTTACTTATTTTTTGACGTAGCAATCATCATAGACGTTGCTCCAAGCTATTTAAAATGTGTTACTTTTTCCAGCTTCTCATTATCTTTTTCCTGATGCATAACCATTGCTATCGGCTAAGGTTATCATTACTTTGCTTTTCGCAATAATTTCCATTCCATATCTTTGTAGTCTTATGCAGCCTTTCTGTTATTTCCTTAAGCTCATTTGCAGTTCCAGCTATTAGATCAATGTCATCAGCAAAATGAAGGTTGTTAATTTCTCATTCTCCAACTGACACTGTTCCAGTGAAGTTCTCTAAGATATCTGACATGGTTTGTTCGAGGTATAAATTAAATAAGCATGGTGAGACCAGGCAACCTGGGTGTACTCCTACTAATGTTGCAAACCACTCCCCAATGTTGTCAAGCAGGACTCCACTACTTGTATTGTTGTACAGTTCTTCTGTAAAACTTATCAATGTGGGACTGATGTTATGCTTTTTCATTGTCAGCCAAAGTCGCCACCCCTGTCAAAAGCTTTTTTAAAGTCTATGACATTATGATGGAGTTGTTGTTAGTGGTCATGGTACTTTTTGCATATGATTCTAAGACTGCAGATCTTTTCTGTGGTACTTCCAGATTTAATTCCAACTTGTTCTTATGCTAATACATTCTCTATTTGCAGCTTGAGTCTGTTTAATATTATTCTAAACAGCACCTTACTTGGATGACCGAGGAGGCTGATGATGTGGCAGTTAGTACATTGGTGTAGATTCCTCTTTTTTTGGGAGAGGGATTATTATTGATTTTGTCCACTGTTGGCCAGGTTTTCCTTTTCCATATCATATTGCAGATTTTGTGCAGTATGTCAATTGTCTTGGTCCATGTTATTCCATGTTTTTAATACTTCTGCAGGTATATTGGTCCACTCTAGTTGCTTTTCCATTTTTCCTGTTTCTGATAGCTTCTTCTACTTCTTTTGTGATGTCTAAGGTTTTATCTTCTTCTGCAGTTCCAGTTCTTCCTTTCTCTAGTTAAGTTATTACTTATGTGTCTGCTTTTATATTGTGAGTATATAGTTCTTTCACATACTTGGCTCATCTTTTGGGTATTGCATTGTTTTCAGTAAGCAAGTCACCATTTTTGTCCTCTGTGGCAGTTGCTCTTGCTTGATACATCTCATCTATATTTTTCAAGTTCTCAAAAATTTACTTGCTGTTGTGTTCAGAGCCTCTTTGAATCTCTTCACATCTATCTAGAATCCAGTTCTCTTTTGCTTTCCTTATTTTATTTCTCACTTTTTTTTTTTTGTATTTCTGTGTTGGAGGCTGTTATAGTCTGATTGGCCTTGATAGTTCTCTGCATGTATCACAAATTTCCATGATTTTGTCATTCATCCGCGGTAGGTTCTTCTTTGCTCTTCCAGGTATTTTTATGTAGTTCCGTTGAGTGCTTGAGTGAAGTCCCCTGTAATGTTCTGTAAGTCAGTTAGCATTAGAAGTGGTTCAAACCTGCCCCCTATTCTTACTTCAAAGTCAGCTTTGACTGATGGATCTTTTAGTTTTTTTCTAGGTTATACCAAACTCTTCGTGACTTTTTGCTATGATCTTCTTGAGTTTAAGTTTGATTGACATCATGACTAAGTTATGGTCACTGCTAATATCTGCTCCTGGAAATGTTCAAATCTTGTTTGGATTGATGCTTGATCAGAAATCATTTGGACATGAAATGTAATTGATTTGTTTATTGTAGATGCCACCTGGTGAATGCTATATTATTCTTTTTGATCTTATGTGGTGTTTTCAAGTACAAGGTTGTATAATTGTGCAAATTCCAGCAGTCTGTCCTCTGTAATTGGTGTTCCCTAATCCCATATTTTTCTGCTGTCCCCTGGTCATTCCTTGTGTGTATTTGTGCCAATTATGGCATTCCGGTCACCTTGGACAATAAGAATATTTTTCTTTGGTGTCTTTGCTACTGTTTCGTCTAGTTGGTTATAGAAATTTTCAGTTTCTTCTTCAGCTCAGTCAGATGTTCATGCGTATACTTGGATGATTGTGATGTTGTTGGGTGTCACAGGAATCTGGATAGAAATTATTCAGCTGTTATTAGCTTGCTTCAGCTTGCAGTTTTAAGATTGATTTGACTGAGTCCTTGTGTATGAGTGAACCTACTCCTCTTTCATGATTATTTTTGTCTCCACTGTATCAGAATGTGTGTTCTTCTTTTAATAGTTCTGAATTTGTCCAGAATTTTATTTTTCCTAGTACCTAACCTAAACTTTGCTGCAACTTGAGACCATTGCTCCTTGTTCTGTCATCTGCCACCACTGAGAACAGTCTAGCTCCATCCTCTTTGGTAGTTGAAGGCTGCTATTAAATCCCCTCTCAGTCTTCCTTTCTCCAGACTAAATAAACCCAGTTCCTTCAGCTTCACCTCAGAAGTCATTTGCTCCAGCCCCCAAACTGTTTAATTGCCCTCTGCTAGACTCTCTCCAATTTGTCTACATCCTTTCTGTGGACAGGGGCACAGTACTCTAGATGTGGCCTCACCAGTGCTGAATAGAGGGGAATAATTGTGGCAGGGCACTTGGAGTGCCTGCCACTTGAAGAGATCAGGCATCCTGCAGAGCCACCAGCCAGTCGGGGTGAGGCCTAATTGTAGAGGCAGCTGATCCAGGGAGCCAGCAGGTGAGGCTAGGCCTGATCAAGGGAGTCTCCTGTTGGGAGGAAGGCTGGTCTTAGGCAAATTATAAGCTCAGACCCTGAGAGTAAAGCTGGCAGGAACAGCTTGAGAGCTGGTGAAGAACATTGTCCAGCAGAAGGGCTGCAGCTCCTGAACATCAGCAAGGAGAGTAGCATCTGAAACAGTCTGGAGGCTTGGGTAGGAACTAAGGAGATGGAGGAGGTTCCTGGGGACCCAGTGTGGGGTCCAGTGCCCTGAGAAGGGGGCTGAGAGTATGTGGGTCTCTTGAGGGGCCAAGTAAGAGAGGGGCTGAGTGTACAGAGGCCTCTGGAGGGGCCAGGTGAGTCCTTTGAGAGGGGCTGTGAGTCTGTGGGCCTACTGAGTGGCAAAGTGAGCCTTAAGAGGAAGGGCTGAGTGTTTGAGAGACCTACTGAAGGGTCTGAGTGAATCCAGTGAGCGAGGCAGTGTGGGGGCCTATTGAGGGGTCCAGATGAGCCCAGAGAAGGAAGGGGCTGTGTTAGTGAAGACCTCTGTAGGGCTCTGAGCGAGTGATCTGTGGAGGGGCCCAACAGGGTAGACCCA